TCTTCTCTTTTTTTTTTATTTTAAAAACAAAACTAAGCAAAAAAAAATCAAATTAAAAATTAAATATACACTCAATACAATTATTTGCACACACACTAAAATATTTCAAAACAGGTAAAATCAAACAAATCGAAATCACGGACGAGGGTGCCTATTTATGATTTTCTATTTAATGACCGGATTACGGTTCGAATTATGCATGACCCAACATTTTTGTATTTTGTTTTAAATAAATAAATAAATAAATAAACGGGCAAAAGTCACAAATAAATCAACAAAGTGCCGTACAGAAATCCAAAATTGTACATCAGGACCAATTTTTATTCTTTTGGAGCGACTGTCGCGCAAAAACAAAAATCACGTGCTCACACATATATATGCGTATATAACGTCATCTGGTCATGGGTCAATGCACATGAGTGAAATGCATGAAAAATACGTAATAATCTCAATATTCCTTCCGAATAAACTTTTCCAACTGCGTATTATTCTGAGACCCATGAATAGAAAATAGTAATAATTTTTATGGGGAATCAAGAATATAGACACCCCTAATAATTCTATGAATAGAGTAATTTATGAAAACTGTGTGTTTGCTCGTTTCTTCAGTATAATTTGGATCATGCCAAAAGAAAGAAGGGAGGGCCTTAACATACCTGAAATAGGGAAAACTTCGTATAATATTCTTGGTGAAGATTGCACCATACTCTTTTAGAACTGCAAAATTTTATGTTGTTATTATTTCAACAAATTCTCGTTGGAAGCTTTTCAGAATCGAATTTGGCTTCTGCTCCAAACTTATTTGAACTTAAAAAGGAATTGATTTTGCTCCAAACATATTTGAACTTTAAGAAGGAATTGCTTCTGCTCTTTATCGTATTTGAACTTGAAGAAGGAATTATTTGAACTTAAAAAGGAATTGATTTTGCTCCAAACATATTTGAACTTTAAGAAGGAATTGCTTCTGCTCTTTATCGTATTTGAACTTGAAGAAGGAATTGATTTTGCTCCAAACATATTTGAACTTTAAGAAGGAATTGCTTCTGCTCTTTATCGTATTTGAACTTGAAGAAGGAATTGATTTTGCTCTCTAACGTATATGACTAATATGCCTAGGACTAAATGAATTACATGTTTCCTGCCACTAAGCATATATGACCAATTGGTCATATATTTGGCTAGTCTGTCTATTGCCACGTGGGAGGGTGGATGGAGATTATTAATTTTTACTCACTTATTAGTTAACGGGATAGTGTTCCATTATCCGGTAATTAATCAATTACCCGTATAATTTAAATATTGCCCCAAATTACTTAAAATTCTACTTATTTTTAATATACTATATATATATATATATACACGTTATACATTATACTACCGTGGTCATATGGTACCTTGCATGGTACTAGTTCATAATTATCGGGTATTATCGCTCGACCCGTATTTTATCCCAAATTGGCCACTTTCAACAAAACTCGTTCTCTTTAATTTGTGTTCCCTTTATCTTTCAGGAAACTTATTTATCTCTTGTTATAAATAACGTAAATATGTTAACGTCAAAACGATCTCATTCCCGAATCTATGTCAATTAACTGAAGACGAAACTTTTAACGTACGAAAATGCGAGATGTAACACTGCAATAGAGAGACAACACGCTCTCTAATTCCTTCAAATTTACTACCTTTACTTCCTCCACTTTTTCATCATTTTTCCTTACAACCTCATTATCTCCGAAATCAGAACCACTATCAGCTGCAAGGTAATTCTCAATTCCATAAAAAACAGAGGACCCTTCAACAGACTCCTGGGTTGTTGTTGTTGTTGTCTCTCTCGGCTCTAGATGGTCCTGGCAACTAAAAGATAACAGAATCGACTCCTTATTAGCAAATTCATTAGTCAAGTTAAGTTCATTTCTTTTGGGACTTCCATCGAACAGCTCTACGTCACAATTATGGATTAAAACCTCTTGAGAAATCTGCCTAGCTCTTTGAGGACATTTATCAAACGAGTGATCTTCGTTATTTTTGGAATATTTTATTTTCCATTGGTGAAATGCTTGATAAAGGATGACCAGTCTCCAAATGATCATAATCCATGTCAAACCCACTCATTGAGTCTAGAGGTGCTTTAAGTATTGAAAAATCCATATGTGAGCAATTAGTCTCCACATACCCGGCACTAGAGTTCAACAAGTTGTCTAACCAGCGGCAACTATTGACACCATCAAACCATCACAGAATTGAACGAAATAGAAACCTAGATTGTTATTGTTAATTTGTTAAGCATATGGAACCTGATAAGAGTATGGAGGCGAGTCGTCATGGTAATACTCAAAGTCATAGGAACTGAAACTCCGATCTAATGTAATACTGATGACCGTACGCATCTGTTATCGGATGGGCTTCGGTCCTGTTAAGCAATTGCTGAATTCGATGTACCTTCGACGAGTTCTCTCCAAGTTGTCTGCAAGTGTTGCATCGAGTTGCGATTGCTCAGTTTCAAACTTTCGAAACTTATCTTCGGTATCCTTGACGATTGGGTCATCAGACCTTGGAGTGAAAGTGACTCTGATACCAATTGTAGTGAATCACGGTAGATTCGCCATTGAAATAGGAAAGCGAAATTAAGAGATAATAATTCAAATTTTCATTCAACATCTTCTTGAAGTTATATCAGTATTTAAAGAAACGGGAAAATGTGTAAAAAGCTAGCTTTAGGGGTACAAGTAAAAGCTACTATAATATTTAGGACTAAAGTGTAACTCCGAAAAACTTTGCAAATATTCAGGTGGCTTCATTCGCAACAGTTAAAGAGCTATACTTTGATTCTTTAGAGATGCTGCAAATTAAAGTTTTTTAATGGTCAGAAAACGTCAAACAAGTCAAGTGAAGTGATTTCTCCCGTACATTAAATTTACTTTTCATGATTATTGGACTCCTCCCGCTAACACTTAATAATTGTTTGAATTCGAAAGGGTTAGAAAATAGTATATATTATACCAAGGCAAAATTTCTCAGGAAGTATCCTATATTTAGTATTAATGATTCAAAAGAAACGTTTTTCACCTTCAAATATAATTAAAAGGCTTTGTCATTGTTTCATTGACCTCTTTCGGCCAAACGTTTATCAGAAGTAGCTGTTAAAAATTGCTTCTCCATTAAAAAATAAGCTTTTCAAGATACTCCAACTAAAACATAGAATACAAAATTGTCAGCTATGTTTGGTTTCTGTTTCCTAGAAGCAAGAAAATTCTTCTCATATGTTTGGTTTCTGTTTTTTCTCTGCTCCGATTATGTATTCACAGAATCAGGCAGGCATTTTCTACTCTTCACACAGTGGAAATATGAGGCGTATATGGTGGGGAGAGACTTCTTAATGTCCTCCAATCAAACTTGATCAGCAATACAGACACTTCAAACCAAGAAAAAGAAACAAAATGTCTAAATAAAGGAACATCCGAAGTGCGTATCACGGGGATATAAGAAATGTTTTAAAACACAGTTTCATTTGTTCCATAAAATAGAATGATAGAATTTAAAGTTAAACCACCAAGTTAGCTAACGGGATTATTAGTTCTTTATACCATAGAAAAGGTAACACATGAATATGAAATAAAAAATGCAACTCGATTCAAAGTTCAATCTAAAGTGACACAGATTTAAGGCTAATGTGGAAAGATGATATACCCTGATTTTTTTAACTTACTGACAAGACAAGGATGCAGACCTTAAAACTAAATCTTTACTTCCCATCCTACAATTATCATTTTTTTCCCCAATCAAACATAATGTTAACTAAAAATAGAGCAATTTCTCGAAAAAAACACCAAAACTACGAGCATCTGACCGCTTCAATATGATTACAAGATGACGATGTGAACAATAGGAGGCTGCAAATAGTACACACTTTCCAGCCGGAAGAACATGAGTACATGACAAAATCTTCACATCTGGAAGTAAAAACTCAATAATGGTCGAAGTTGAGTTTGTACACAACTGTTTGCTGGATAAATTAAGATATGATGAAGAAGAGAATCATATACACTGTGCACAGGTATATTATATCACACTAAAATATCTGACCGGGACTCTCTTTCAGTTTACTGTTTCAGCTTTCAACAAGTACTTGAAGGATCTTTTTAGCTTGAGCGAGGCTGTCCATGTGATGAACTTCGGAAACCCATATATTTTGCATGGGAAGCATCGCCATATCCAGCTCAGTCAGATGTGTTTCCAGCCACCTGACAGCATCTGAACTCATGAGACTGCCAACAACTGTCTGCCAAGAAAACAATAAAAAGCACATCCTGAAGTCGCTCATCATAAAGCAAAACAAGCATCAGGGGTACATAATATATAGCTACCGAGATTGCAGGAATTGGCTGATGGGTGAAAACAGCATAAGAAAATAGATTGAAGTTAACCCAAGCACACCTCCTTAACCTATTATGTGGTAGTCCATATGCTTATTCAACCATTATATTGGTGAACTATTATGTGGTGTTCCATTCTTTGTTCAATCGATATATTGGGAACTTACTGTTGTTTGCAGCTAGTGCGAAGTGAGAACAAAAGGTAAGTTAAAATCCACCTCGAGAGCCAAAATAACAGAACAAATTCAATGTGACTGAAACTGCTTCACTCAAATTGATTCTATTATTATTAAAAGGTATAGTGATTCCATAAATAGAGAACTAGTCGTACTACATCTCTACACTTCAATTTAAACTGCAATCAGATAATGTTTTCCTATTGGTACAACATGCACATTGTATATGTATAATTTATAATATACACACACACACGCACATACATATATACAATCTATAGGTATAGTGGTATGCATGCCTTGCTTGTGTTATGCCATACCATAAGATGAGAAGGTAAGTAGGACACATGTGACTGCCAATGAAACTTACCAAAAGGGTGCTGCAGCAAGCTTTGAGGATGAGGGACTGAAAGAAATCTTGATCTGAACTACTTATAGCCTTGTCGGGCTTGGCAGAACACACAAGGTCTTGACATGATGAATCAAAGATGGAAGCCTGGTTTCTCACTGTGACCCTGCCATGCCGCTTCATAATTCTCCTTAAATGGGCAATAGTTAAACTGCTGCATGCCTGCTTTCTCCTGGTCTTCTTTGATCTCTTGTGAGTTTTAGCATAGCTTTCACCTGAAACTTCATTATCATGTAACCCCAACAAAACTGCTGCAATCTCCCAACTAGCCCAGCAACAACATGATGATGACCCGTCATCTGCGCAAGCATAGAGAATAGTCATGGAAAACTAGCATTGTCTGATAACTGGACAGGAAACTTTTCAGAGACTAGGACAAGATCTAACTGCCTGTTGCAAGTGAGCTTTTTCCAGCAGCAAAAGAAACTTCATTTAATATGGAAAAAATGGAAACAACCTACCCACCCACCCCAAACCACACAGGGCTTTGGTGTAGTGGTACAAGTGCAGCCTGTGATGTGGGTTTGAACCCTGACAAAAGCCTAGTATTTAAGTGGAGAAGAATAGAGAGCCGGGCCCATCATCCACCAAATTTTGAACAGTGCACAATTGGCCCCCGAGGATTTCTCAGTTATCAAAAAAATGAAAAAAGGAAACAATCTAAATCTTTGCATAGAAAATCCAAATATAAACCCTGGTAGTCTTCATGAAAATAAAAAAAAATAAAAAAAAAACTACTCATCGAAGAACTTGGTGGTTTATAAATTTTAAGAAAAATCCACATGACTGTAAAGGTAAAGGAAGAATAACAAGGAGCATCATAAAATCAAGTACAGTTCTTTGATATTGGAGATCAAAAGCTGTGCAACATATACATACAGAACATACCAAAGATAAAACCAGCAAGTGGAATGCCAACACCATATGAATTCGGTCTAGGCTCAGTTCTTGTATGAAGGTATTTGCCTTTCCTGTTGTACTCCAAGACAAGGACATAAATAGCCACAACCTGACATTATTGAGCAAAAAAATAGGATGTCCGTGAGAAGATAAGTCCAACTATCACGCACAAAATGTTAGGCAAAATATTATAGATGCCCTTATAGCTCATGTACACCCTATAAAACATCTTCAACTTACTTAGCTTTTATATCTTCAAATTCGCCTTAGATAGGCATTTCTGTCATATCTATAGAAATATCATTAAAAGCTTTTCAATTTTGTAGAAAACCTAGGGCTCATGATCAAACAAATTTTCTTAAATTACAGTTGGTCAAATATTTTCAATGGATCCTAAAGGTAGTAAAGAAGATACAGGTTCTTCTACCACTAACAGCATCTATAAATTTCATCCTAGAGATACTATTTAACCCAAGAAATCCAAAGGTTGTAACAAAATGACGGAATAAAGGAGATGAAGCACATGTGGAAGCTTTGAATATGCAATATGAGCGGTGTCTTGTTAATGCGCTTCTCTTGTTTTCTCATTCTTTTACTTTGAATTATGTGTTTTCTTTTCCACTTGGTTGGTAATGCTCAAGTGATCTTAAATGAGAATAAGTAAAAAAACAAAAAAAAGGTTCTTGTTCAGTTCATTCAATTGAAAATTGGAGTGGGCTATACAAATTTTGGATAGTTTATTCAGCGTTTCAAAATATGTCCTCTTTTCAATAAATTGAGGTTTCAAAGTATGTTTAGGGCCAAACAAGATATTGTTAATAGCATTTCTAGCAGGAGTTCAAAGAAGTGAGTAGAAGAGACGAATTCGCAAGTAGATAAAGAGTGAAAATTGTTCAAAAAGTTACATGTTTTCTCTTTTCAACAAGATCAGAGAAGCAAATTGTTTAACAACCCAACTAATATCTGCATAAGAACTGTGATTACCCTGCAATTGAACTCCATTGGTTGGGTCTCTAAACAGTTTGCTGTATCAGAAATCAGAGATGCAGTTCTAGCACATAATGGAGAATCACCATCCAAGTTCAAAGCAGCAGATTGGCAGGTGTATGCATCCTCATTATGATCATTAATCACACTTGATGGGTTGATAACAATGAAGGACGTAGGTATCATCATAAAGTTGTCCTGCGCACTGGAAAGACAACATGCTTTAGCATATCAGATAATTTCAGTATCGAACAAAATGCCATACTTAATTAACTTTGTCCTCCGCACTGAAAAAAATCTTGAAGGGTTAATAAATAAAGCATAAATGCTACTCCAGGTTAAAAGAGAATATTAAGATTATTAATACACTGCTAGTATTGCACTGCAGTATCAAAAAACAAGCAATTTTTGTCAACCACAGCCATAAAAAGGACTAGTGACGGTCTATACCCCTTTTATTTGTCAAACATAGAGAAGTTTGTTATTGGAAACATATTAGTGGATGATGCAAGAAATGCAGAAGCTTACAGGTCAGAAATATTAGAATGTTTCAGAATCTTTTCTAAATCTTAATCTTCCTTTCGCGTGTCTAATATGCGCTCACATGACAAAGCTCATTTAGTGAAATAAGCTATAATAGCACCTAGCAATTGCAAGAGAAAATTATTACTATAATCTTCAACTAATTATTTTCAGCTCAAACGTCTCTATATCTTACATGGGTAGAAGTGCTGGAGGTGAAGGTTAGCAGAACCACTGAGCTGAAAGAGTTGCTAAAATATATAGAAATTGCATACCTAAGGGCAAGTACTCTGTGAAATGATGCAGTAACATCTCGTCCAAATCCAGCAGGGTAAGCAAGTTTTTTTGCAGCCCCAAAAATCTTGACCTAATCAATTATGAAACAGTCTTAAAGTTAAAAAAAATGCTGTCTAACAAGAAAGAGGCAATAGAATTATGTAATAAGTTACAAAAGTTGAGAAGCAAAGAGAAGATACCATCTTACGGTCCATTAAAACATGGACACAGATACTGATAGTTCCTTCAAGGAATAATGACGAACAATCACGATTGATGCTTTCGCACCTTAAATGTTCTGCACACGATTTTCCATCTGAACAATGAACCGCCTTGATCTGCCCATGAATAGATGTTAAGTTTCCCTCGGGCAAATTATGATCAGAGGAGTAGATGTTTGTCATTTCTCCAAATGGAACAAGAGGCCCAAGAGAACAGTCCTCCAACAACTCCAAGTTAACATCAAATAAGTTTGTGACATCAGATGGAATATATAAGTTGACATCTGAAGAGATCTCATTGCTTCCATTATTGGGTAAACAATTTGGAATTTGAAACCGATGATAGTCTTCTGGAAGAACACTATGGTTGCTTAAAAATGAGTCGCGCTGTTTAAATAAGCAGGATACATCTAAACTTTGAAGAGCATTGACAGAAGCGAAAGAAACACTCCAAATATTTGTTCCAGAATTCACAAGTATTTTATCACCTATTCCATCAGTACATAACATGCCTTCTTTCTGATGTTTTATAAGATATTGACCACCGATTTTCAACACCTGCAATGTTAAAGAACAAAATTTGTTTTAAGTTGTTAATGCAAATTTCATATAGCAACATTTTATGTCATACATCAGAACGAATAGAGATGAAATGACATACCTCATAAACAGAAAAAGCTTCTGATTTGAATTCCAGCAATGCCTTTCTCACTTGTGGTTTGCAACAGGACCCCACATCTGCTTCCGTACCTGTGTGTTGCAACATACCAAGAGACGGATAATTAGCACAATTTCCAGTCACAAGACATGGAAATTTGTCTGAGCAGCATGAGTTATGATGCCTGTCCGCCACAGAAGAGCGCGCTTTAGCAGAGAGACTGGAGCTGCAACTTGGTTCATTTTCAGTATCATTCAGTGCAGACGTCAAAGCCTCGCTAGACAGTTGGTCAGGTTTATGTCTTTTGCACGCAATAAGTTTTCTATTTTCCATTCCGTTAAAAAATTTCATTGGTTCCTTCAGTTGATCTATCAAAGGCTTATCAATATGGGTATCTCTGTTTTTGTCAGCAATAAGTAAATCCCAAGGCAGAATTAAGTCCCAAGGCAGAATTAAGGCCTCGGCAAATGCGCTTGATGTACTTGAAGCATTTTGACTTCCTTGAAACTGCTGCAAACATATCCATCGACTGATTAAATTTGTTATCACAAACTTGTAAGAAGGCACTGTTTTTTGCAAGACGCGTACCTTTTGCAGAATAGGGAATTTATGCATCAGCTGAAGTAGGTGAAACTTTCCTCTTCCCACCTTCCCAAAGTCAACTTGGGAATCTACACAGATAGTAAAATGATGATTTACAGGTATTACGTCCCTCATGTTGTAGTAAAGATGGAGTGGCATGTTCATCTCTCTCACAAATGGGGCATTCTCAAAAATACTTCTGCATGTGAAAGGTTCATTTTGGAGTAAATCCACATGATCCAGCTTCATGGGTATGTCTTCCATAATTGACAAAAAATTTCTGACCTGAAAAAGGAAATATTTAGTGGGAGAAAAGAAAAAGGAATTTTTTTAGTGGATGGAACAATTTACACCATGTAACATTGATAGTGCTGCACATTTAAATGATCAGGAAATGAGAAACACAAAATGAAAGAAGATTGATGTTGTATCACACCTCATACATGCTATTGAAATTCCAACTTGATGGAAGATCTGGTATGATAACATCAACGCTTCCAGTTGCATCAACAAGCAACATCCTTCCAGAAGACGGTGAGACCTGGCTGAACATAAAATTAACTTGATAATATCTTATAAGCTTATAAGTAATATAAAGTCCGATAAAAGATGCTTTAGATATCAAATGAATGCAAAGTTAAGAAATCAGGAAGCTTGCATGGGGAATCTTAGTAGCTCAGTTGGTTGGTTGCATGAACTTCACCTTGTTGGTGAGGATCCAATTCCGCACCTTATATTCCCCTCCCCCATTTCCCTTTCCAAAAAGAACAAAAGGAAGCTTGCATAATGTTAAAACTTCTATTGGCCTCTTTTCTATACATAGAATGATGCTAATAAATGATTTATCCCATTTATACATGTTAGATAATGAATGTAGACATAATCTGAATGTAGACATAATCTTATGTAATATACATAGCTAGCATAATTATAGGGATTCACAGCAGATTTATAGGATTTCCTTTTTGTTTCTTTCCATAGTTAAGGTTCTATGTACTTGTATATATACTTGTTACTTCTTGAATACAACACAAGAGAGATTTCTCTATTGTCTCTATACTTTACATGGTATCAGAGCAGATCTACTGCTTGCCGGAGTTGAGTCGAATCAGCTGCCGGAAATTCCTTGATCGGAAGCCAATCTGAGGTCTTTTTGACATTTTCAGTTGACTTGTGGTGGTTCTCTAATCATAGAACCACATTTTGGCAAAGAACAACCTCAGACCAGATCTTTTTTTTTTTTTGATGACCGAGAAATCCGTGGGGCCGATCCTTTAGACCAGCCGCAGCCTTCGAAACTCGGTGGATAATGGGTCTGCCCCTCTACCCTTCTCCACTTAAATACCAGGCTTTGCTTTGCATGGTGTGGGGGCTTGAACCTGTGACCTAAGATACAAATCTACCACCCTTTGCCACTTGAGCTAGGCCAGGGGGGCCAAACCAAATCTTATTCTCACTTTGTTTGGTCAGGTTTGAGTTTGGTTTATTGGTTATTCGATTTCTTTAATTCTGTGGTATTTTTCTTGGAGGCTGCCTGTGTGAGAAGCTTGCATCTTTATTTTTGACTCACTGTGGTGATCGATTAGTGACTTGATATTGTCTGTTGGGTCTTTCTGTAAACTTTGTTTGTCTCTAATTTTGTTTGAGTTGGGGACAAATTCGTTTGGTTCTCTGATTTGGTTGAGTAGATTATTAAAGTTGAATCTTGTTCAATAGATTGTTGATTTTGTATCTACCAGGATCTGTTTGAGTATCTTTTAGCTTCGGGGACCTCTGTTAGTTTAATCAGTTTGTTATTGAAAGGAAAAAAATGATGGTAAAGAATAATAATGCAACAACTCCTAGTCCAACAATCTTGGTTTCGGATGAGTTTCTAAAATTCTTTCAATATCATAAATCAGTTAAGGAATCTTCTTCGGTTACTACCTTTGCTGGGTCAGATAAAACATGTCTTATTACCTCTTCCAATAAATGGGTGATCGATTATGGTGCTACAAATCACATGACGAGTAATCCAAATATTTTTTCTAGCTTTCGCTCACATAAAGCACCCTCTCCGGTTACTGTAGCTGATGGATCAACTTGTAGCAGTGTTGGATCTGAGACTATTAAACCAACTTCCTCTATTACCATGTCATCTGTATTAAGTCTACCAAACTTGGCCTTTAACTTGATTTCTGTTAGTAAAATTACCAAAGACCTTAATTGTTGTGTTGCATTCTTTCCCAATCATTGTTTGTTTTTAGATCTTAAGACGATGCAAGTTATTGGTAAAGGATATATATCTGGTGATCTCTACATTCTTGATGAATGGGAGTCACGGTATGTTGCATGCTCTAGTATCGTGTCTCCTTTTGAAGCACATTGTCGACTTGGACATCCCTCTTTGCCTTTGTTAAAGAAGCTCTGTCCTTAATTTCAGAATATTTCATCATTGGATTGTGAGTCATGTCGATTTGCAAAACACCATCGCATCTCGTTAAGTCCAAGGGTTAATAAGCGAGCTGAGTCAGCTTTTGAGTTGGTCCATTCTGATGTTTGGGGACCATGTCCGGTTGTTTCTAAAACTGGGCATAAGTATTTTGTCACTTTTATAGATGATTTTTCTCGAATGACTTGAATTTACTTTATGAAGAGCCGCTCTGAAATGTTTACTCATTTTTCTGCCTTTTGTGCTGAAGTCAAAACTCAATTCAATGCTTCAGTACGTACTCTAAGGAGTGATAACGCTAAAGAATACATGTCAAAGTTATTTCAGTCCTACATGAGACAACATGGTATATTACATCAGTCTTCATGAGTTGATACACCCTCTCAAAATGGAGTTGCTGGGAGGAAGAATAGGCATCTACTTGAGACAGCTCGAGCACTTTTGTTCCAAATGAAGGTTCCTAAACAGTTCTGGGCTGATGCGGTTTCTACGGCTTGTTTTCTGATTAATCGCATGCCATCTAGTGTACTCGATGGTAATGTGCCTTATAGTGTTCTTTTTCCGAACAAGTCATTATTTCCGGTGGAACCTAAGGTGTTTGGAAGCACATGTTATGTTCGAGATGTTCGACCATCTCTTACCAAGTTGGATCCCAAGGCTGTGAAGTGTGTTTTCCTGGGCTATTCTCGCCTTCAGAAGGGGTATCGATGTTATTCTACTGAGCTTGGCAAATATTTAGTGTCAACTGATGTGGTATTTTCAGAGACTACACCATTCTTCTATGCACCTCCCATTTCTACAAGCCAGGGGAGGAAGATGAGTGGCTAGTATATCAGGTTACCCATACTTTGACAGAACAATCAGATGATACTCTTCGATCTCCCAGTTCTTCTATTGAGCACCAATCGACTATTATGCCTTCAGTACCTGCTCCAACAAGACCTCCAATTGTTCAAGTTTATTCGCGGAGGCGAGAGACAAATGATACATGTCCCGCACCAGTTCCTACATCATCTGATTCTTCTTTGCCTGATCCTCTAGATAATCTTGATCTTCCTATTGCTCTTCGCAAAGGTACACGTACTTGCAAATCGACATATTCTGTTGATAACTTTGTTTCCTATGACCACTTATCCTCTACGTCTATATCTATGATTGCTTCTCTAGACTCCATCTTCGTACCCAAAACAGTGAAGGAGGCTTTGAATCATCGCGGATGGTCTGATGCAATGCTTGAGGAAATACATGCTTTAGAGGACAACCACACCTGGGATTTGGTAGATTTACCAAAGGGAAAGAAACCAGTGGGATGCAAGTGGGTCTTTACAGTTAAAGTTAATCCAGATGGTTCTGTGGCAAGACTTAAGGCCAGACTTGTGGCGAAAGGGTATGCTCAGACTTATGGGGTGGATTATTCTGACACCTTCTCCCCGGTTACCAAACTCACTTCTGTCCGCTTATTTATTTCTCTAGCTGCGTCCCAGAATTGGCCTTTACATCAGTTAAATATCAAGAATGCGTTCCTTCATGGTAATCTTCAGGAGGAAGTGTATATGGAGCAACCACTCGGTTTTGTTGCTCAGAGGGAGTATGGGAAAGTCTGTCATTTGAAGAAGTCCTTGTATGGCTTGAAGCAGAGTCCACGAGCTTGGTTTGGCAAGTTCAGTGAGGTAGTTCAAGAGTTTGGGTTGAAAATGAGTAAGTGCGATCACTCAGTCTTCTACCGGAAATCAGTAGCTGGCACTATTCTCCTCGTTGTATATGTTGATGATATTGTTATCACATGAAGTGACTATGTTGGGATTTCTTCCCTCTAAGTCTTTTCTGCATACTAGGTTTCATACAAAGGACTTGGGCCAGTTGAAATACTTTTTGGGAGTAGAAGTAAATAGAAGCAAGAAGGGAATTCTTTTATCTCAGAGAAAGTACATTCTTGACTTGCTTGCAGAAACTGGAAAGTTGGCAGCTAAACCTTGCAGTACTCCAATGGTTCCTAATGTGCATCTTATGAAAGATAGTGGTGATCCTTTTGACGATCCAGAGAGACACAGAAGGTTAGTTGGGAAATTAAACTACCTTATTGTGACTCGTCCAGATATTGCTTTTGCGGTAAGTGCTGTTAGCCAGTTCAGGTTTGCACCAACGGTCAAACATTGGGCAGCTTTGGAACAGATTTTGTGTTACTTGAAAGGAGCTCCTGGACTTGGCATATTATATAGCAATCACAATCATACTCGTATTGAGTGTTTTGCAGATGCTGACTGGGCTGGATCGAAAATTGATAGACGATCTACTACAGGTTATTGTGTCTTTGTTGGAGGAAACTTGGTATCATGGAGGAGTAAGAAGCAAAGTGTTGTATCTCGATCTAGTGCAGAATCCGAGTATAGAGCTATGTCATAGTCTACATGTGAGATTATGTGGATACATCATCTATTGACTGAAATTGGGTTAGAGCATCCAATACCAGCAAAACTCTGGTGTGACAATCAAGCCAGTGTTAAAAATAGCGTGAAGCGAGGAAAAGCGACAACCCCCATTTCACGAAAAGCGAGAAGCGAAGCGCCCGCTTTTTTGAAGTGAAGCGGAATTTTAAAAAAAAAAAAATTAAGGCAATAAGAACTAAGAATAAAAATATATAATTGGGCAAAAATTGGGCAGAAATTGGGCAGAAACGGGGCAAAATTTTTCTGAAAAAAATTCGCCAGCATTTCAACGCTTTTTGGACGTTTAGAAAGAAAAAGAAGAATGAAAATAAAAACATACCTGTTGAAACTTGAAAGTTGTTGTTGTAATGTTGAAGAAGAAGAAGAACCCTAGTTTGCTTGAACAAATCGTTGCTTCATGTGAGGAAGAAAAGGCTGGTTTTTTGAGGAAGAAAAGGCTGGTTTAGAACCCTAGTTTGCTGCTGAAGAAGTGTCTAAAACAGAAGACTCAACGATTTGGGTCTTTTAATTGAAAAAGACTCGTTTGGGCCTTTTAATTCAAGAAGTGATCGCTTCTTCCGCTCCCGACCGCTTCACCGCTTCTCGCTTTTTAGAGAGAAGCGGTCGTTTTTTTGTACCTGAGCCACTTTTAGCTGGGGTAGCGACCAACCCATCGCTCCGCTTCGCTTCTCGCTTAAAGCGAGGAAGCGGTTGCTTTTTTTAACACTGAATCAAGTTGTCCTCCATATTGCATCAAATCCGGTGTATCATGAAAGAACTAAGCATATTGAGGTTGACTGCCATTTTATTCGTGAGAAGATTCAGGAGAACTTGATCTCCACTGGCTACGTGAAGACAGGAGAGGAACCGGCTGACTTGTTCACAAAGGCGTTGAATGGAATTCGAGTTGATTACCTTTGTAGCAAGCTGGGCATGATCAATATCTATGCTCCAGCTTGAGGGGGAGTGTTAGATAATGAATGTAG